ACGTTATACACTTCAGGCCTGGAAATGAATATTGTGGAGAACACATACCTGGTCTCTTGTCACACAAATCTCGGTTGGAACCTCCAATTTTTTTTATTTTCTTTTTGTCTGTGACGTCGTGGATGCTTCAGTGGGAACAGAATCAACACTGATAGTGGTGATGCATCACTTTTTAATAACACAACATATCACAGATACACCATTAATACATTTAGAAACTTTAGTAGATATCCGAGCTGGTGACACGATCAGAGACGTTAACGAAGATGGTACTCGTCATCACTCGACAAACAAAGTCTCCACACCTCAGCTCGCTGGCGGAGCTTCCCAAAACTCTTCTCTCACAGGCGTCTCAACAGAACTCTCATCTCTTTACGCATGCGTAATTCTCAGTTAAGTCGTTGCCATTCACAGTTCTTTAAATAAGGTGTTAAAATGAATTATAGTACTCGTAGTGTGAGGAGTTTGCTAACGACGTTCTCTCTAGTCAAGAGCATCATAGGTCTTTCTAGTAGAGTTCAGGAGCGTTCTTTACACCATCTAACCTTTAGTACCACCACTACAAAGTACCACTACCACCACCACTCTTGAACAAAGCTCAGATCGCATAAAATGTACGAGTGTTAGAGAAAAAAAAAACTCAATCAGGATGTTTAGATTTTAATTTTTGAATTTAAATATTAAAAACACTTTGCTGCTTTGCGTACCACCCGATAGAGAACCCCTGCCTGAATCTTACTCCAGTAAATTAAAAAAAGTTACGAAAATCGCCTAATTAATATTTTTTTTATCCTTCTCTTTTTAAAAGGGTCGGAAAATTGTTGAAAAAGAATCTCTGGAAATTTCTAGACGGTATAAAACTTGTACATTTTAGATACAAAAGTTTAAATCTGATAGAGATATATGATTATAAAAAAAATCGAGCTGTTTATAAAAAAACCGCCAAAAATTCGTAAATTAAAAGATTCGAAATAAACTTCCTTTAAAAGTTTTTATATGTATTACTAACACAATTATCTATTACTTTTTATATCTATTACTAACACAACGCAACAGCAGTAGTACCTCGTCGGGTTCTGGAGATGGAGTATGTTGAAAACTTCCATTTAGAGTCCAAAAGCTTTCTTTTCATAATGAACCTTTTAAAATAAAGTTTTGTTGTAGACTGAAATATGAAGTTAATATCCTATTTGCATCGAGAGTTTTTTTTAAAGACGCTTAATAATGGAGCCTTTGAATCTTGGTGGATTGCATTTGGAACAAAGATTGACACTGATTTTTCATGCAAAATCAAACTGAAATATTTCACAGGCGTCTCCTTCCCTATTATCTTTTTTTACTGTATATGGAGTCTCCTTCCCTATTATCCTTTTTTACTTACTATTATCCTTTTTTACTGTGTACTATTATCCTTTTTTACTGTGTACTATTATCCTTTTTTACTGTGTATGGAGTCTCCTTCCCTATTATCCTTTTTTTTACTGTGTACTATTATCCTTTTTTACTGTGTACTTGGCGTGTATGACTTCCCCCATTTTTTAAGAGAATATTAGAAGCTTAGGTAACTTATTAATTGCATTTGGTATTAATTGCGATTATTAGACTCGCAGGAAGCTTTTTCCATTATTTTGCGATAGAGTATACGATCTGTACAGGATGTCCCCAAAAGATAGTTTGAACTAAATATTTCTTGACTGATAAGTGGCGCACCTAACGTTCCAGTTAAGCAAATCAAATACGGTTACATTAGACGCTGTTAAGTGTGATCACAATTTTCCATAGCTATTTTGATAACATTAAACGATGTGAAAAAATGCCTTCAAAATAATTTCTTATAATTATAACATATAATTAGGTACACTCGCAGCATTTTAATTGAGAAAATATAAAAGTTTGTTTAAGAACTCTTCCATAGTGTCTGTAATGCATTTCATTTATGAACGGTTCATAAACGTGTCGAAATTATTTGACCGTAGCTGTATCCATATTCCGAGTATTCGGTGGGCATGCCTCATTGGAAGAGAACTTGCCTATGTAAAATTTAAAATTAGGCAAAAAGCAACACTAGTTACCGCAGATATTAACAGAAAAGAAAAATTAATCCTACCGGAACTTGTTTGCTTCTGAAGAGGAGTGAGTTGTGTCAGATCTTCCCAAAGTTGACAGAATTATTGAAAATCTCCATCAATCTAAATTGTTTTTGAAGAGAGGCTAGTGATTGACTAAAATCAAAACTAGGATGTTCGACGATTTAATCCCTCACTTGGCGACATTTCTCTGTAACTTGGCAATTTTTAGAATCATTTTTAACTTAATTTGACGACTTTTTAAAATTTATTTGACAAAAAATTATTCTGTAATAATTTTACCATATTAACCGAATCGTTGATCACAAGTGATATATTTTCCATATTTTCGTAAACAAATGGACTTCAGCTATTCGATAGCAATATCTGAATGATCACCAACGTCTACTATATATGACGTCTTAGATAATTACTACGTTTTAATAATTTATTGTAGTTATGCTCCGTGCCCACAAAAATTCTTACCCGGCTTTTATTTTCGCAACCTAGTTTGCAAATTAATTGGAAAAAAGCGATTTTTTTCACAAATTTTAAGTTGGTTTGCTAGTTGGCGCTAGTAGATCACTTAGAGCAGTTTTATTTACCTCATTGTCATCTAGATATCTGCTTTTGACTATTTAGAACTGGTTTAGACAATAAATTAGGAATTATTGCACTATTTTAAAGTTGTTTTGGTGAAAAGAGGTAGTTACTTTTGCTGCTTTTGACTATTTAGAACTGGTTTAGACAATAAATTAGGAATTATTGCACTATTTTAAAGTTGTTTTGGTGAAAAGAGGTAGTTACTTTTGCATACTTTTTAAGTACGTTTCGCATTCGTTTATTTTAGTGTACTAAAAATGGATATAATGCCCAGAAAGAGAGTAAGGAAGATCTCACTTAACAATCACACAATCCATAGCTGTAACAAATATTGTTTCTGCACTGGGCGTTGGAAAATCGAGCGTTTCTCAAATTCCCAGGTTACACAATGAAACTGGATCATTTTCTCCAGAAAGGAAGGGCAAATGTGTAAAGAAGAGAAAAAAAACTCCAAAATCCGAAAGATTTCCACTCCGGAATGGCATTGTTAATACAATAAAAACTAGCAATGACCTCAAAAGAGATCTATTCGATATATATCGTTATTGATATTCATTCTTCAAACGTGCAGCGTAGACTTCTCACTAGTAGTCGGAAGGCGAGAAAGCCTAATAAAACAACTGTGACAAGTCAAATGAAGTAAAAACGATTATTATGGGTCAACTAATACAAATCTTGGACTACAAATGACTGTTCATTTTCAGCGATGTTCATTTCCACAAAGTTCAATTTCAGCGATGAGACTGATTTGTTCATGGTTACATATCCAACATTGTTAGACGAAGCAAGGTTGAATCAACAAGACCTCAGCATATCCTCGAAACCGTAAAATAACCTCAGAAACCAATATTGTGGGGTTTTTCCACTGCAGAGTCTTTGGAAATCTCGTTCCTAAATTTTAAAACACAGGATTGTGCCAGTCTCGAAAACCTTTGCAGGGACATATCAGCATGACTTGGCTCCAAGCCACAATACGAAATCTATCAAAGAGTTCATATTAGAAAATTAAATATTATATTAGATTGGCCTGAAAATTTACTAGATTTAAATTCGAGCAAAAACTTGTAGCACATTCTGAAGGAAAATCTTAGCAAAATGGCTTGTATGACAAAAGAGCGCGTGATTAAGAATGCTATAAATGAACAAGACTTGTAGATTCAATGCCTAAGTGTATTACAGAAGTCATTTGTGCTAAAAGAGGACATATTTCCTATTAATGTTATTTTTATCACTATTTATGAAGTGATGTATGTACACAAATTTTAAAACAAATTGCCTTCCCAATTAATTTGCTCATTATAGTACTTCCAGTTACAAAATTGTTTTTAATGACGCAACTATTTATATTTTGGCATTTTTAAGTTTAACTGTTTCGTGAAAATTATGAAATCTTAACTTTTTATACGTTCCCTCAGCGTTTTTATTATGTTTAGGAAAATTTGTTTATTATAAAACGTTAGTTATGTCTTCTCAAGTTTGACCCCCCCCCCAATACGACAAATAATTATTGAGATATTTCAATTTCAATTTGACTTTATTGAGCAGCGAAATGTTGGCGTTAATACGAGATTACAAAATAAGTTTAAAAAAAAAGTTCCTGATGTTAATAGATTGTGACGAGCATTTGCAAGCAGATCGTCGTAAAAGTACTGATCAATATAATTTTTTGTTTTTTGAAGAGATCATTTTCGCGTTATTATATCTTTTGCAAATTTATTTTCGAGAATATAAGGTGTCTCAACAACATTTATATACGGTACCCAAAATTTTAATGAATCATTTGTCTTCGAACAACCTATCAGCCTAAGGTAATTCAGTCCTACTGCTAATGCTATGTGACTACTGCTAATCCTACCCCTAATGCTATGTGACGTTTTAACGGCCATGTAATGATTAGGATGAATGACGTAATTGAGTTAAATATATGACTCTTAGCAGCTTAAAGACTGAGAAGTAAGAATGTTTTCCTGCAACTTCCGATTTTGTACAAACTTAGTCCTAAAACTTTGTAGATACTCTGTGTATTCATTGTAAATGAAGCCTTTACGAGAATTCAATCAAACTGTTAAAACATGTATTAAAATAAGAAAGAAGATTTTTGTTGATCTTAATTCAAAGTTTCCCGAGATGATTTTTTTTTTTTTCGATTTAAAAAATAAATCTTCCTTATCCATCGGAATCGTTAATTTATAGGAGTAATCTGTTACAAAAACAAATTTATGAATTCAGATTTACTCCCTGTGTCAGAAAAAAGGTTAACAACGTAACTCAAGTAACTGGCTAACCTATTTTTTTCTCTTGTTTTTCATTAAGTGTTTTGTTTCATTTCAGAAACGGACGGCAGAAGACATGGCCGCTCTTAATCCTTCGAATCTTTGCAAACAGACTCTTCTCAAGTACATGAGTCTACCACAGCCTGAACATAAAATTCAATGCACTTATGTTTGGATTGATGGAACTGGCGAGAACGTTCGATCCAAAACGAAAACGTTAGATTTTGTTCCAAAAGATCCATCAGGTGAGGATTCACTTTTTAAAATAAGTGTGCTGATTTTATAAGAATGTGCCATTCTTTTATTTATTTATTTATTTATTTTATGGTTCCTATTTTGAAAAAAAAAAAAAAAAAAAAAAAAATAGCTGAAAGAGGCTAAGCTGTTAATTTCTGTTCGAAACTGAACTGAAAATGCTTATATCTTTTTAATTTCTGTTCGAAACTGAACTGATAATGCTTATATCTTTTACTTGAAGTTATTGTTTAGTGGTGCTTATCATACATTCATTGAATGCGGGGTGTTATTTTAAGCACATCACGAAAGAAGTAAAACGTATTCTAAAATTATTCTATACGGTTTCCTGTATTGCAGTTGATGATCCCGATTTTTTCTGTGTCTGATTTTGTAAAAAGGAAGAAAAAAGTTATTGTATAGATGTTTTGTAAATCTATTAATATTAATCTTTAATCCCATTCTTGATAAGGTAATTAATGCTGTGTTCTCTCATACGTATGATTTATATAGCATAGAACATTCATTCCATAATGGTAACTTCGATCAGAATTTTCATTTTTATTTATTATCATTCAGTAGTCTTACGAGACCGCATTGTTAAGAATGAACTTTGAAAAAAGCGGATTTAAAACCCAACGTTAGCAGGGTTTGTTATTTGATATACAAGTTACTGTATCTTTTATTAAACTGAATATTAGCTATCAATAAAGTTTTTTCAGAAATTTTAAAACGCTGATTCTCAACGGGGTCGGTATTGTTTCTTTGGAGATCAATTAAATTTTAAAGGGGGGTCAGTTATAATCAAGGGGTCGACTGGGGGTTAATAGCCGAATATGCACTGACTGTTGATCGGCATATCAATATCCCATTGATTAATTATTTAAAAATATGACTATAATAATAAATATGAGTATTTATTGATATTAAGCTATATCATATAGTAGGGAAGAAATCATAAAATAAATGTAACAAAACAATACACTAAAATGAAGATGCAAGAGGAGTTAGTTGAATTGAAGGAAGATGTTCTTGAGACACATTGGGTACGCTAAGTTTTGGAATTTATAAGTCATACGAGAGAAATATCCTAAAGTTGTTACCCAAACCAACATGTCTGACGTTTACCTAGTGGAAGCAGGCTTTAGTCAAGTCAATAAGTTACTACAAAAAAGAAGCAGGATGAAATTTTTTAAAAAGGCGATTTAAGAATTATGTGAAACAATTTTATGTCAAATATTTATTTTAAGTTGTATCAGTACATCAAACACAACCGTAACATTAATTAAAATCCGAGTTTTGTGCAAAACAGAATCTGTGATTTTTCTCTGAAGATTTGTTTAAATTTGTGAAATTAAAAATGATAATAAAAACAGTAAACACCAGTCTAATAAACCATTTATTTCTAAAACTTTTGTTCCTATTCTTAATTTACTTGTTATCCTTAAATGCAGTTATTTGTATTACGATTATGTTGTTATGCTGAATATTATAGAGAACTGTAAGGAGATCAGTGAAGAAAATTCTTCTAGAAGAAAAAGATTGTGAATCAGTTTTAAAGCATTGGATTTCCGAGTTTTACGACAATGGCTTGTCTCTTGCAAAGAAGAGAATATTAAGAACAGAATCCTATACTAACGACAGTTCTTTATAGCTATATTCCGCATTTGTTGTAAAATTTCAAAGTTTACTGGTTGCGTAATATTGCTCAAGTTCTGGCAAATAACAGCGTTTTGAGTTTTGTAGTTTAAAATTTAACCGTTCTTAAAATGTTCGTTGATGCGCGTAATGACGATCGCTCATTACAGCAACCGTTCTACTGCGACGACCAGTGCAGGAAGTCTGCAGCTGATGAGAATGTGTATTAAATTTACATTCAGCCTTACCAGTGGCCAAGTGGTAAAGACCGATCCCAGGAGAACAAGCTGGCTGCGTGGTTGTTTTTCTCATGTATTACATGAATTCGAACCAGTTTCCTTATTAAAGATGGCCCACCTACGGTCGAGCGGTAACATTGTTCAACATTGGTAGTTCCAACCTGTGTTTGACTCCAGGCGAACGGGCTACCTGCGTGGGTGTTTTCGTAGTTTTCCCCATGTGTAGCGTGTATGTGAGCCAGTTTACCTAAGAAAGTTCTCCATGAAGGGCATCTTTTCCTTTAAGCAGATAGCCCTAGTGTTCTTTACCATAATCAACTAAACCAACTACCTAAGCCCTCATAAAGTCCTCCACGAAAGCATCCCTCCTCATAGGCAGATGTCCTTCCTGGCTTTGCCGTATTCAAATAACTTAAATCTGTATCCATCACAACGACCGGTCTCACTTTTATTTTGGGATTCGAAGATTTCTTTATAATTAGCAACAGCCATGTTTTCTTATTTCATTGTTTCTAGATGTTGTTCCGTAGTATCTGGAATTTCTGGTTATGTTACGCAAAATGCAAATATTTAAGAAACATTTTGAATTTTAATTTTTCATTGTAGAGCTCCCTGTCTGGGATTATGACGGTTCCAGCACGTACCAAGCCGAAGGTTCCAACTCAGATGTTTACTTGCATCCGGTAGCATTATATAAAGATCCTTTCAGAGGAGGCAATAATAAACTTGTCTTATGCGAGACGTACAGATTTAACAAGAAACCGACAGGTAAGGAAAATTTATTCATTTAGAATTACAATGTTGATTTAAGTGCATAATTCTGTATCTTAAGTTTTCACCATTTTAACACCAGTTGCCATACTGTAGATGGTGACGAAGATGTTAAATTTTTAATACATTCCTAAGCCTGTGTTAAAATTAGTGGAAAACGAATCCTAAATTTTTTTAAATCCACATCCTAGGATTCTGGTTGAAGGCAATAAAAGGTATTCGAATTTTTCAAATCTCTTAATTTTTGGAATGCCTTATATAAGAATATTACATAGTATATAAGTAAGGAACCTTATGTGAAATACCGTTTAAAATTCTGCGCCTGCATGAGAATCTTTGTTCAGAATCTGAGCTACTTGCATTCATGACGTCAGTCTGTATGCTTCGTAGTGGGAAGTTAAAATGTTTAAGAAAATAGATCGCCCCCCCCACAATGAAATATATCAGTTATCCGATTTTTAAGAGCATGAAACATGAACACTACGGATATTCATCGTCTGATGTGTGAAATGCAGTGGATGACAAAGAAAGGTGCGAAAATGGTTGAGATTGTTTTTGGAACGTAGGGAAAACATCCGTTAAATCAGGGTTCATAGCCACATTTTAGTTAAAAAAATAAGCACCTATAAGCACTTTTCAAGCACATTTTAAGAAAAAAAAAATAAGCACCTGTCTAATTACATTATACATAACTCCATAACCTTAAAAAAAATTAGACTTGCAATTTAAAATATGAGCAATGCAATATTTATTAAGAGAATAAGCATTACCTCAACCATGGAAAACAACTTTCTTTTTAAATTTTAAATGACAGTTCAATTTAAAGAATTAGTTTACAATGAGAGAAAAATGAACTATGCAGAACTAAACTATATTACAAGATTTAATGATGAAATTTCAGTTCAAAATATAGAAAATAAATAATAATAAGTCATATTAATTGTATTCGCTTGGAACCTAATAATAAATACAATTTATTTTTCCACTCATATTAATATTTAAATAATTTAAATCAAAATTCTGAACATTTTCTAAATTTTCATTGCATTACAGTTTTCCCTTAACCTATATTCCAAGCAAAGTAATTTAAGTAAAAAAGAGGAACATTTCTGAAATCAGGAGAAGGGAAATTGCTTCATGCAGTCATCCTTAAACAGTAAAAGCTTAACTAACCCGCATACTCGGAAATTGCCGAGTATTCCGTATAGTCGAGCGTAACTGGAAAAAGAGGACGGGGTGGATTGTAGCCGTTCCTTAGATTTCTCGGCTAAATAAATGATTTTGACATTTCGATATGTGCATCATATAAATATAGACCAACGGAACTGAGAAATATTCTGCTTAGAAAGCACAGTAAAACTCTTTTACGTGTTCATAAGTAAATCTCAGACTGAACATCAAAATTAATTATCTCTGCAAAATATCGCATACATTATATTGCGCAATACGTGCGGCGTAATTCTTCCATATGTGATATTACGCAATCGAAATCAACAGCTGTCGGTATTCGGAGAATAAAGAACTAAATGAAGGAAAAGAAAGAGACTTACTAATCTGGGGTGTTTTTGATTCTAATTTTGAACAGACTGCGTTAAATTTCTGGAATAAATCATTCTTCGCTTGGGTTGGGTAGACCGCAAAACGTTTTAGTCCTATTCAATCCAGATTGGACAGTGACAAAAAAAAAAAAAAAAAAAAAAAAAAAAAAAAGTCCGCTGCTTCAATATTAGAGATTTTGCGGAGAAGGAGGAGAAACCTCCCAACCTCCGTACTGTATAATGTATTGGGGGAAAAATTATTCTGACTGTTCGATTGCTTTCCTTTTATTTAAGCCATTCCGAATATTATTCCTTATAAAGCTAATCTGTGTAAAAATAAACCCATTTTTGGAAGTTTATCTACACTTCAGCAGCTACTGCAACTATATTATAAATATTCATGCATATGCTCATAATATAAGCATAACGATCATAATAAACACGAATATGAACTGACCACGCGGAACTAGAATGCAAATTATTAAGATCTTGATAGAAATTCAGACGTGTGTAGTATTTGGGTGGGCGGAAAAGAATACCGAATGTACCGGAATTTTCTACGGTTTTCGCAATTCTTTGAACAAAGAACGACGTGCAACTGTCTATACTCTCGCGCGCACCATAGGTTACGTTAATGCAGAGAAAGGGGGAAAAGCTATTTCCGGGAGTATGATTCACCATCTGACGTTCCATATAAGGAAGAAAAGTTGTTTATTTAGTTTCGTCTTTGGTACGGGAGGAAAAATGCCGTTCATTAAAAAAAAGCACTAAAAGCAAAAAATAAGCACTAAAAACAAAAAAGTAAGGTCTTTAAAGAAAAAGTAAGCACCTATAGGGCCTTTATATTTTATTTTCAAATATAAGGACATATAAGCACTTGTAAGGACGGCTACGAACCCTGTCTATAGTTACAGATGGCAAACCAAAGTGCTAATCATTTACAGGGTTCGTAGCCGTCCTTACAAGTGCTTATATGTCCTTATATTTGAAAATAAAATATAAAGGCCCTATAGGTGCTTACTTTCTTTTAAAGCCCTTACTTTTTTGTTTTTAGTGCTTATTTTTTGCTTTTAGTGCTTTTTTAATGAACACGCATTTTTTCCCCCCGTACCAAAGCCGAAACTAAATAAACAACTTTTCTTTCTTATATGGAACGTCAGATGGTGAATCATACTCCCGGAAATAGCTTTTCCCCCTTTCTCTGCATTAACGTAGCCTATGGTGCGCGCGAGAGTATAGACAGTTGCACGTCGTTCTTTTGTTCAAAGAATTGCGAAAACCGTAGAAAATTCCGGTACATTCGGTATTCTTTTCCGCCCACCCAAATACTACACACGTCTGAATTTCTATCAAGATCTTAATAATTTGCATTCTAGTTCCGCGTGGTCAGTTCATATTCGTGTTTATTATGATCGTTATGCTTATATTATGAGCATATGTATGAATATTTATAATAATATAGTTGCAGTAGCTGCTGAAGTGTAGATAAACTTCCAAAAATGGGTATATTTTTACACAGATTAGCTTTCTAAGGAATAATATTCGGAATGGCTTAAATAAAAGGAAAGTAATCGAACAGTCAGAATAATTTCCCCCCCCCCAATACATTATACAGTACGGAGGTTGAGAGGTTCTCCCCTTTCTCCGCAAAATCTCTAATATTGAAGCAGCGGACTTTTTTTTTTTTTTTTTTTTTTTTTTTTTTTTTTTTTGTCACTGTCCAATCTGGATTGAATATGACTAAAACGTTTTGCGGTCTACCCAACCCAAGCGAAGAATGATTTTATTCCAGAAATTTAACGCAGTCTGTTCAAAATTAGAATCAAAAACACCCCAGATTAGTAAGTCTCTTTCTTTTCCTTCATTTAGTTCTTTATTCTCCGAATACCGACAGCTGTTGATTTCGATTGCGTAATATCACATATGGAAGAATTACGCCGCACGTATTGCGCAATATAATGTATGCGATATTTTGCAGAGATAATTAATTTTGATGTTCAGTCTGAGATTTACTTATGAACACGTAAAAGAGTTTTACTGTGCTTTCTAAGCAGAATATTTCTCAGTTCCGTTGGTCTATATTTATATGATGCACATATCGAAATGTCAAAATCATTTATTTAGCCGAGAAATCTAAAGAACGGCTACAATCCACCCCCTCCTCTTTTTCCAGTTACGCTCGACTATATGGAATATTCGGCAAATTCCGAGTATGCGGGTTAGTTAAGCTTTTACTGTTTAAGGATGACTGCATGAAGCAATTTCCCTTCTCCTGATTTCAGAAATGTTCCTCTTTTTTACTTAAATTACTTTGTTTGGAATATGTTAAGGGAAAACTGTAATGCAATGAAAATTTAGAAAATGTTCAGAATTTTGATTTAAAATTATTTTAAATATTAATATGAGTGGAAAAATTAATTGTATTTATTATTAGGTTCCAAGCGAATACAATTAATATGACTTATTATTATTTATTTTCTATATTTTGAACTGAAATTTCATCATTAAATCTTGTAATATAGTTTAGTTCTGCATAGTTCATTTTTTTCTCATTGTAAACTAATTCTGTAAATTGAACTGTCATTTAAAATTTAAAAAGAAAGTTGTTTTCCATGATTGAGGTAATGCTTATTCTCTTAATAAATATTGCATTGCTCATATTTTAAATTCCAAGTCTAATTTTTCTTTTAAGGTTATGCAGTTGTGTATAATGTAATTAGAGAGGTGCTTATTTTTTTTTCTTAAAATGTGCTTGAAAAGTGCTTATAGGTGCTTATTTTTTTAACTAAAATGTGGCTATGAACCCTGATAGATGTTATCATAAGTGGCACAGTTCTGTGATGTAATTCCAAAAAACTCATTGTTATCTACGATAGATGTTTGAACTAGCATGGAAATTATGTAGGAAAATAAAGAATTATAAGTAAATTCAGAAAATAAATTTTTTGGAAAGATTTTTACCGCGTTTTCTTTGTATTGAAAAACGGACCATACTTAAAAAAATAAACCTGCTAGTAAACAGGGAAAAATAATCAAAGCTTTCAGATTTTGTACTGCGCCCAAAGAAGCATTTTTTAACGTTTTGTACGTTACCTTTATTTATCAGGTATCATTTTCTTTGCACTTAAACCATAAAATTCAATTTAACAGCAATATCACAAAATAATTTTAAAAGAGCATAAAATTTCGGATACGCAGATTCGCACCCTGGAAATAATTTTTAGTGACTATTGTTTTCGTTTTGCAGTTTTGCGTTTGTTCATTATAAATGTCCGTTTCACTTTTCAAAATGTTGCCACCAAATGTTAGTCTTGCATTATAATAGTTGAAGAAATTAAGTAATGAAAAATCTGCATAAATGTATATATATTTCTCGCATTGGGGTACAACAACCGTATATAGAGCCATCGAATTTTGAATGACGTAATCCTCCTACGAATACGGGCAGGTGGAAGCCCA